AAAAAAAAACAGTATAAGCAAATTTTAGTTTTTTGAAGTATCATTCAGAAACTACCAGTGTGTACAAGGTAAAACCACAATATTGCCTGGAATCAAAGATTCAAAGGCTGCCACTTACCTGGAAAAGTTCTTTAAATGACGGGTGTACCATAGGGTTGGGAACAAAAGGAAGAGCGTAGAAAGGAAGAAACTCTGTGGTCTGGCTCAACACTGCCCCTTTGGTCTCCAGGTAGGTTTTGAAATAACAAATCCTTTCATCCAGGTCCTCTTTGTCCTAGGGGAAGGGAAGACGCTTGCTTGAGGCACCTGGCTCAGTGCCAGTCAACCTGCTGCCTCCCCCTCTCTATGAGGCTCCTTTAGTCTCAGCCATGTCACTTGTGTCCTCCCCATCTGGCCTAGAAGGCGCACCGTGTCCAGTCATTCTAACCCCACCTCCAATTCCCCCCCTTAATGGAGCTTCATCAGGAGTATCAGAGAACTACATATACGGTTCGATGTGCTGCGTTTTTACTTCATTATTACCATATTCTCATGTCGTTTAGATTCTTCATAAACATCACTTTTAATGGCAGGACAAAAAAAACTCATCTTGTCTATCATAATTTCTTTAATACTCCCTTTATTAGACATGTACACTGTTCCCACTATTCTGATATAAAATAAACATTTGCCTGCATTCCCATGATTCCCACAGAAGGGGTCCTAAAGGGGAACGGGCGTGTCTGGTTTTTGAGGCAGAAGCTTCTGTATCAATACTCTTTTCCTTTATTAAGCTGAGTGTTGATCCCGCCCTGCTTCGCTATTCCATGTGTAGTCCAAGCAAGTCAATTCCCCTCCCAAGGTTTCTCTCTCCTCTTGGGCCTCAATGAGAAAACTGGAGGAGCTGAAACTGGAGCTTTCCTCCCTGCCACGCTGCCGGTACCCGCTGCGGCCTCTGCAACCTCGTACAGACTAGGCCTGCTCTTCTCGTGAACACATCTCATTTGCCATATACCATGAGACCTCCTTCAGACTACTGGACTTAAAAAAATAGATAATGTTTATTGATTTTCACCTTACATCAAAACAGAAAAATTAAAAAAACAAAAATAGGAAATGAAAATCCCCCATGATCTTGTCCACATGAGTAATATCCTGCAGAACAGCCCTCCAGGAACGGCCACTACAATGTACTGTGATGCTGCTCCCTTCACCACTGTCCCCTCCCTTGGTATCCATGACATTTTAACAAGTTAACGCAGGTCCTTGAGTTGTTAATGCACAAAGAAATGTCCAAACAAATGCACATGGTCGAATGTCAGCCTGTCCCTGCTCCCTTCCTGTCATTTCCTCTGTACTCAAAGGTTCACCTGCCACAGAAGCTTCAAATTTTAGCCCTCTCCTCCCTTCACATGTCCAGCCCCACCCGGGAAAGGACTGCAGAAGCTAAATCCAACTTACCACTCAGATGCACTTTCTGCACACAGGCATACTATTTTTCTACTACTTAAATTTATGTTCTATAGAGTCTAATATGCGCCTAAATGTGTTCTCTTAGACATACATGTATAAATAGTTGCCAAATAAACTTTATTTTGACGAATTTTCAAAAATCTGAGGTATTTAGGGAAATAATGTAGCTCAGATTACAGAAAGTATTAAATCTCCATATAAATTGGAAAATAAACTGTTGGGAATGAGGTAGAAAATCATTCATCAGAACACAAGATGCCTTCGCCTTGTAAGCAGCATGACAAAATGGCCACAAAACTAAATCAATGCCCATTTGCAAAACATAACAGCTAACATTCACCTTTAACACACC